ATCTTTCCCAGTGTTATTGTTGATTAAAAAGAAGATTAACATAAAATATATGACAAACTATTCTGTATTAAAACAATCAGTAGATTAACACAGGAGTACAGAGATGTTATATCCAGCTAAACATTACATTAAATCAATAAATAATGAGTATTTTTATTAAACTACCTCATACCATACCATACTTTACCATAATTACTATACTTTAATATGACAAAGATATTTAACTTATAATCATCTCAAGAGATGTAAAAATTTATTAAATGAAGTCTGGTTAAACAGAAATCTGTTGTATCCTTCCACACCAATATCACTTAATATAAAGGCTACTAGTTTTTTCCAAATTTGATTCAGATTTAAAAAAGGTATTAAGTTATACTAAGCTACTATTAATAAACTATGTTACAATGAAATAAGTTAGCTTAAGACAAAGCTAAAACAACACACAATCACAAGTTACACTTGATCATGAGGGTATAGAAATTTCACCCTGAAAAAATCAAGTATCAACCTAAATTATTATTATTAAACTATGTTTAAATTCTTATTTTGTTAAATAAGATAAAAGAATAATTAATCAAATTACTTATAATTAAACAAAAAGAAATTTAAAAAAATTTTTTGGTTATGTGTTCAATTTCTTTGTTAGCCTCACGTTTTTCCAAGAAAAATTTAAGTCTTAAAATGAGGTACTTATCTGTTTAACTCATATGTACTAAGATATCTTCTAAGGTTTTTCATTGCCCACGCTTTCTTTTGTCACATGGAATCGATGAATTATTTGTAAATTTAAACTTGAAATAATATAGTTATTACTAAATAATTTAAAAAACTAAATATATTACTGTAAACTAGACTAAATTACAAAACTTTTGATATATAATTTATAAATAAACTCTTAAAAAAAACTAATAAAATTAATTAAATAAAACGATATGACATAATGGCTTGTCAACCATGAAACACCACCGCCCTCTCTTATCTTATTATTATTAAAAATAATATTAGGGAATATTTATACCAACTTTACAAAAACAAAAATACGAAATTCGTTGTTGCACTTGCATGAAATTTTCACTCGAGGTTGGATTTTCCATAGAGATTATTTTAAATTCGAAGATGAAATCAGGAAAAATTCGGAAAAAGAAGAAAAACGTGGATGAGGTAATGGGATGATAGAGGAAGGAAGGAAGGAAAAAACGAAGAATGGATTCGGCGGTTGGGGGGGAAGGAAAAGAACCGAAAAATGTACCCATTCACAAAAAAAGTAGAAAAAGAAAGACACGTGGGGGGGGGGGGCAGAGAGCGAAAAGGAAAAATTTCGAGAAAGAAAAAAAAATGGAGAAGAAAAACGAATGGACAACGAAAGAGAGAGAGAGAGAGAAAGAGTGAAAATTATTATTAAGCTAAAAGGATAAAAAGAGAAAAAGAATAATAAAATACGTTTGGCCTTGGAAAAGTACGTTGACCTCGGGAAAACACACACACAGCACAGCGTTGCCATGGTTACGATAAAGATCCCACAGACTTAAAATCCCATTTTTTTTTTTTTTAACAAAACTGCATAAAGTTTCCCTTATAACGGTTTTTTTTTTTTTTCTATTCTATCCTTCTTCGTAATTTTATTTACATTATTATTATCATTATTTTAATTCAGTGTTGACAACTTTATAAAAATAAAAATAAATAAAACCGTAATAAGTAAAAAAGAAACGATAAAAAAAAAAAAGAAAATTTTAAACGACAACATTTAAATATTATTAAAACGATTCGTCGTGATGATGACGTTTGCTGTCGACGTCGACGACACGATGACGACAAACGACGACGACGACGACGAAAAAATAAAAATCAATTTACTGTTTAAAATGAGAGAAAAAAAAAATTTTCTGGAAAAGCAGAAGATGAGAGAAGAAAAAGAAAAAGAATAAATAAAAGTAATTGTGCAGCAGCATCAGGAGCAGAATTGAATAAATAATATTTATCATCGTCGTCGTCGTCGTCATCCTGAAAAAAAAAATTACCGTTTTATCCCGTTTAATTCCCGAATTATAATAATAAAAATCTTTACATCTTTGATGTAATAATAATAATAATAATAATAATAATAATAATAATAATAATAATAATAATAATAATAATTTTTTTCGTAATTGTAATAACGATTATTCACATAAAATTAAACCGATTTTATATACTTTAAAAAAATACGTTCATAATGTGAATGTTGGCACGACTGTTTGTTGGTTTGTTTGTTTGTTTATGAATTATTTTATAAAAAAAAAGAAAACAAACAGGGTTTAAATTATGAAAATATTTGTCGTTTTTTTTTTTTTACGTCGGGAAACGAGTAAAATAAAATTATAATAAAAACGTTTTAAATTTTTCTTTTTTTTTATTGATTGATTCGACAAGTGAAAACTTTATTATTATTATTATTATTATTATTGAATTTATAAAAACATAAAATAAAAATTTTTTGACACGTTTTTTTTTTTTTTTTTTAAGAACACAAAAATTTTAAAAGCTTTTTTTTTCTTTTTTTTTTTTTTTTTAAATTTTTAAAAACTTTTCAATTACGACGTGGTAAAAAATTTTATTTATGCGATGATGATGATGATAATGATAATAATGATGATGGGGATACGAAACATGAGTTCAACCTTCGGTACCTTAAACGGATTGTTTTGTATTTCTGACGTTCGGCTATAGAAAAAAAAAAGTCATTTCTGATTCGTTTCTTAAGGTTTTTATATATGTCACTTCTGCCAACTTTTGATAACCGAAAAAAAAAATGTCTCCCTAAACCTGTGAAACGTTTTAAACAAATACTCATTGTTTTTAAAAACAAAATTTTTTAAAATTAATTAATTAAAAAGGTCAAAAGTTACGGAAAAGTGCAATAGGAGAGACTGAGAGCGAGAGAGAGAGAAAGAGGGGGGACAAAACAAGCAAGAAAGGGGACAGAAAAAAAGAAAGAGAAAGTAAAAAGTCAGAAGAAGAGAGAAAGGAAGAAAGAGAGAGAGAAAGAGAGGGGAACAAAAGAAGAAAGGGATACTGAAGAAGAAAGAGAGAGAGAGAAAGAGAAAGGGACAGAAAAAAGAGAGAGAGAGAAAAGGACAGAAGAAAGGAAGAAAAAGAAAGAGAGAGAAAGAAGAGAGAGAGGGAGGGACAAAAAAGAAAAATTTTTGCGGTGTCAGGAGGATAATCCGACAAACAAACAAACGTTTATTAAAAGACACAAATATTTTTTTATTGTCTTCCGGTTTTAATTTTTTCATTCATTTCCGTTTCGCGCCTTTTTTCCTTATTTACAAATATTCCGAAAAATTATTATTCGTCACGAAAAAAAATTTTTCCAGATACATCTACATAAACACGACAACACACGTATAATTTTTTTTTTTAAATCAGGACCGCATACAGGAAACTTTTTTATTATTATCACACCCTCTTTCTTTTTTTCTCACCGACAAACCCCCCCTCCTTCCACACACTTTCTCTCTCTCTCTCGCGCGCGATCACATTAACTAAAGTCTCATTGTAATATTTTCACTTAATAAAAATTTCAAAACGTTTTATTGTCTTCTTCTTTTTTTTTTTCCAACCATAAAAAAATTTTTTTCTTTTTTTTTTTTCTTTCTTTCTTTCCTTTCATTAATTTTACACTACAATACTTCAATTTATTGCCACTTAATTTTTTTTTTTTTTTTTTTTTTTTGTAGTAAGAAGTTTTGGAGGGGTTTTCTTTTTTTTTTGGCTTTCTTTAAATTTCTTTCTTTTGTTTAAATTCCAACAAGAAAAAAAAAAACGTCTGTTTTTTATTTTATTTTTTTTCTGTTGGAGGGAGGGGGGGGGGAGGGAAGAGGAAAAAAGGAGGGGGAATTCATGAAATTTTAAAATTAATACGAAAAGATAGAAAATTGCCAATCTTTTTTTTTTTTCTTTTTGATACAAAAAAATTTTCTCATGTAGAAAATTTTTTTTTCTCTCTCTCTCCCCCCCTTTCTCTCTTTCTTTCTTTTCTTATTTTTTTAGTTTATCCATTTGCAAAACTTTTTTTTTTTATGTGCTTTGAAAAAAAAAAAAAAAATTTTCACAAAAGTGATAATTTACATAGAAAAATTTGTTTTTTTTTTTTTTTAAAAAGTAAAAATATCTTTTGATGTTTTGAACTTTTTTCTTTTTCTTTTCTTTTCTTTTTTTTTCAATATTCTCGACGCAACCTTTTTCTTTTTTTGGAACTTTTCAATTTTTTTTAAAAACAAAAACCAAAAAAAAAAAAAGTTTTCAAATTTTTCCTCTTCTTTTTTTTTATTTAAAAATATTTTTATTCCGTTTGCGAATTATATTTACGACGTTGGATGTAATTGAAATGTTGTGTAAAGAATAAAATAAGAAAAAATTTTTCCCCCTATCATTATTATCATTATTATTATTATCAGAATTAAAGTTTTTTCCCTATTTAAAATTCTCACGAACCCCCCCCCTCTCTCTCTCTCTCTTTCAATTCTACCCAAAAAAAAAATCCTCCCATTTATTTAATTCAAAATTTTAAAAATCCAATTTCTTTATCATTATCATCGTGACGATCATTTCCGGTTTTTCCGGAAACAAACATTTTTTTTCTATACGTGTTAGTTTTATCATTATTATGATCATTTCCCATCATTTTTTTTTATACGTTTTGATATTTTATTTATAAAAGGGGAGAAATGGGAGACGAAGGATTAAAAAAAGGATTGGGAAAGGAAAGGAAAGAAAAGGAAAAAAAAGGAAAAAAAAGAAAAGGAAAGCAAACCAAATCAAATCAAACCAAAGAAAAGAAAAGGAAAGAAAAGAAACGAAAAGGAAAGGAAAGGATTGGGAAAGGAAAGGAACGGAAGGGAAAGGAAAGGAAAGGAAAGGAAAGGAAAGGAAATGAAAGAAAAAGAAAGGAAAGGATTGGGAAAGGAAAGGAAAGGTACAACACTACACATGGAAAGGTATGACACTAGAAAATTTTATTCTTTTAAAAAACACGTGTTGAAATCTTCATTGAAACAACCTCTCGATGAACTCGGTAACCTTTCGTGTCTCACACGATTTACTTTGAAAAAATTTTCTATTATCGGAGTGCATATTTTTTCAACCGACGATCTCCTTTCTTCGATTTCTTTTTTTGTCGCCATCCGATTATTTTCAAGCCATTTTAAACCGTCGCTCGCTTCTTTTTGTACTTTTGTCGCATCTTTTTCCGGTAAATGCGTCACGTTTCCCAATAAATCCAAACAATATGATTCGAATGAATTTCTCGCTAAAACTTTTTGCCTTCAAAACAGAAAAAAAAAGAAAATTTTTTTTGCTACTCAAAATTCTCAGAATTTTCTCTTTCGTAATTTTCCATACCTGTTTTTATCATCTTCATCTTTAAATTTTTCCGATTCCGCAATCATTTTATCTATTTCCGTTTTTGATAATCTTCCCTTATCTTTGTTTATAACTATTCGACTTTCTTTTCCCGTCGTTATTTCTTGTGCTTTCACGCTTAGTATTCCATTCGCGTCTATGTCGAATGTGACTTCTATTTGTGGTACTCCTCTCGGTGCCTGTGGTATTCCACTCAATTCGAAATTTCCCAATAGGTGATTGTCTTTCGTCATGGGTCTTTCACCTTCGTAAACCTTTACGAGGGGGGGGGGAAAGAAGGTTCTTACAAATTCTTACAAACTAAACAAATAAAAAATTTAATCCATATCGTACCTGTATGTTCACGGACGTTTGATTATCCGAAAATGTTGAAAACAATTGAGTGTAAGAACAAGGTATGGTCGTGTTTCGTGGTATTAGAATCGACATGACGCCCCCTGCGGTTTCTATACCGGTTGATAAAGGAGATACATCTAATAAAAGTATATTTTTAACTTCTTTTGCCGAATCCCCGATTAAAACGGCTGCTTGAATGGCGGCACCTGAAATTATTTATTCTTACATTGTCTCAAACGAGAGAGAGAGAGAGATAGAGAGAGAAAGAGAGAGGAATTCACCGTAAGCGACGGCTTCATCTGGATTAATATTATGATTTAATTCTTTTCCGTTAAAAAAATCTTTTAAAATTTTTTGTATTTTTGGAATTCTCGTAGATCCACCAACTAAAACAACTTCGTGGATTTTTGATTTTGATATGTTTGCATCGGCCAAAGCTTTTTCAACAGGTATAAGAGTTCCTTTAAAATAATCAGAATTAAGTTCTTCAAATCTAAAAAACGCAAAAAAAAAAAAAATAATAATTCCGCGGGGATTTTCTTCTGCTTCAAATAGTTTTTTTTTCTGCTCGCAAACCTCGCTCTCGATATCGTCGAATAAAAATCGATTCCTTCAAACAAAGAATCGATTTCGATATCGGCTTGTGTCGTGGCCGATAATGTTCTTTTAGCTCTTTCGCAAGCCGTTTGTAACCTTCTCATGCTCCTTTTATTTTTCGTTATATCCAAATTATGTTTCTTATAAAATTCTTTTGAAAAATAATTAACGAGTCGTGCATCGAAATCTTCCCCACCTAAATGTGTATCCCCCGATGTTGCCCTAACTTCAAATATACCCTTATCTATGGTCAATACGGAAACGTCGAATGTTCCACCACCCAAATCGTAAATAAGAACATTTTGCTCTCCTTCGTTTTTATCCAAACCGTAAGCTAAAGCAGCAGCCGTGGGTTCGTTAATTATTCGCAATATATTTAATCCAGCAATGGTTCCAGCATCTTTTGTAGCTTGCCTCTATTTGAAACCAAAAAAAGGCCTTTAAAATCGGCGTGGGAGTGTAAAGAACCATCATATAATACCATTTAAACAAAAAAAACCTGAGAATCGTTAAAATAAGCAGGTACTGTAACGACAGCATCCCTCACGGGTTGCCCTAAATAAGTTTCTGCAACTTCTTTCATTTTAAAAAGTATCATTGATGATATTTCTTCCGGTGAAAATCTTTTCTTTTCGTTTTTATATGTCACTTCAATTTTAGGCTTACCACAATCGTTAACGACGTTAAACGTCCATAATTTCAAATCGTTTTGTATGCATTTATCACTGTACGTTCTACCAATTAACCTTTTCGCATCTAAAAAAAAATTTTAGTTTTACAAAATAAACAATGATGGTGGCAGACAATATTAATAATAATAATAAATATACCATAAATTGTATTTTTAGGATTGCTTGCGATTTGTGCTTTTGCTGGATCCCCAACAAATCTTTCATTTTCGGTAAATGCAACGTAACTCGGAGTGACGCGATTCCCTTGATCGTTGGCTATTATTTCAACTTTTCCTCTTCTGAAAACTCCAACGCATGAATACGTCGTACCTAAATCAATTCCAACACCTATTTTTTTAACTTTTGACATTTTTCCTTTCCCCCTCTCTTCCTTTCTCCTCTCCTTCCCTGTCCCCCCCTTTTTTTTTAATCAAAAAATTAAAACCAAAATAAATTTTTTTATTTTTTTTCTATTTCATTAATTTTAAATTTTAAATTTTTTTATTTTTTATCCTCCATGTTTATTATTATTATTTTGTCGTGGATTTTATCATTTTTATCAATTTAATATTATTATTATTTACACGTTTTTTTTACACACGCGCGACTTAAATAATTTTACAAAAAAAAATTCAATAATAATAAATTTATTTATTTATTTTTTTAAATAACTTTGATATCGTATATTATATTTAAAATAAAATAATAATAATAATCTACAAACGATAAAATATTATTACAATGTTGCTACTACAATTAATTAATTTATTTATTTATTTATTTATTCTAATTTATTTTAATTAATTATTTGTGTTCAGACAGACAGAATTTTTTATCATTATCTTCGGTCGAACGGAAGATATTTTTTTTTCCATGAACAAAATTTTTTTTTTTTTTCACTTACTTTTGTACATTTACAAAAAATATTTTTTAACGTAAACCGTCATCATTATCATTATCATTATTTTATTTTTACCCTCTTTCGAGATAAACTATAAATAGGAAAAAAAAAAACTCACCCTATATTTAACATTATAAAAAAATTATAAAAAAAATTAAATTCTACCGCAAAAAAAAACAATTACATAAATAATCATGAAGCTGTGTTTTATTTATTTATTGATTTATTAATTTATTTATTGATTGCTTTTTACTTAATATTATTATTAAATTGTCAAGATAATATTTTTAATTTTTTCCCTCTTCCTTTCTTCCTTTTTTTTTTTTTTTTTTGACTAGATTAAGTAAATTACAGTAATTATTTTTATATTAGAAAGAAAGAAAGAAAAAACAAATTATTATCATTATCATTAACGACGACATTAATTTGACCTAATTTTTTTTAATAAGAATAATAATAATTAATTTTAATATTACATTTTCACGTTAAAAATTAGGTCAAATAATGTTACAAATTTTTTATTATTAACAACAATTATGTCTTTTTACGCACTGATTAAAATACAAATTATATGTAACGTGTTATCATCATCATCATCGTCGTCGTCGTTATCATTATTCTTTTTACTGGAGAAGATAATTAAAAAAAAATTATGGAAACGACGACAGATGAAACGTTATAAAAATTACATAAATTTTTTTTACATAATATTTATTATAATATAAAATATAATATGATTATGATGAAAAGTAACGTGGCTAATATTCCGATGGCCATCCATTGCCTTCGATCTGGAAAGAGAGAGAGAGAGAGATTGTAATTAAAAAGGTTGATAAGAAATCGTAAGAAGACTTCCTCCTCCCTTACCACTTGATAATCTTAAAACTTTTGACATTTTCGACATTGTAGAATTTAATTTCGAATCCATGTTTTCTAAATCGTAACCGAAATCGTCGAGCATGACGGCTTGTTCGTCCAATTCGTTACCGATTTGTCTCGATACGGTTTTCAATGTTCCAACGGAATCTCCAATTATTTCAAGTTGTTCATCTTGTTCCATGAACATTCTGTTCTGTTGCGATAGAGTATCGTTTAAAAATTGCCTGTTAGGACTATCTATTTCATTTTCTAATTTCGAATATTTCGTAGGTCCGTGCGACATTATTCTAGGAGGAGATGATATATTTTCTAAAAGTGGTTGCCTTGCTGTTTTGTCTCGATCTGTATTCCTGTTTATGTTCATTTTATCTTTCATAGTTTTCACTTCTTCTTTTGTATCCTCAATAAAACTCCTCCTATTCGAAAGTTCTTTGTTATCCGTTTTAAACTTTGTCGGATTTTTTTCTACAATGCTTGATTTTATCGTTAATGAAAATTATTGTTTTTTCTCTATCTTCCTCATACTCATTCTTTCAATTCAATACCTCTCTCTCTCTCTCTCTCTCTCATTCATTTTTACTCGACAACAGAATAATACATTATTATAAAGTTAAATGTCGAACGATAACCTAGAATCTTACATGGAGGCAATCGCTCGAACAAAGGTAATAATTGAAATATTTTTATGATGCAATATTTGTCAAATATTGCAAACAGTTTAAATTATAACACCCAAGATAAAACTATCAAACAATTTAAAGGTAAACATTACCTAATTGTAGTATTTTTATTAACAATAAGCCTACACTAGAACAACAACCCATATCGCTAATGGATGTCACATTCATATCGAAATCAAATATTTTAACATGCTAAAATCGAATAAAAAAATATTTCTCGAGTAAAATTTAAATTTTTTTTTTTTTTGTACAAATTTATTAAAAGGATATTAATTGTATCTTCTAAATCTTCTAAATCCCATTCGATGCTTCTTAATGCATTTCTCAACTCAGTTGAAGTCCAATCCAATTCATCTCTGATAGGATTATTGGAACCATTATCATCTTGTAATTCTAACCACCTTCTATATAAGCTGCAGGTTTTGTTTAAAGCTTTATTTACTTCACTTGAACCAAAAAAAAAAAGAATAAAATAATAGAGAAATATTAATTATAAGCGTAAAAAACGATGAGACAGCAAATGCAAAATTAAAAAGAGAGAAAGAGAAAAACTTACTCTTTAACTACAAAAAAAGGATCTTCAAGTGACATGACGGTTTAAAAATATATTCGAGGCCAATTTACCCCATATAAAAATTTTTTTGTTGAACAAAACATCTGGATGAAATATATTTACACTCTACTGAATAATAAAAAAAACTAAAATCTATAATCTTAAATGAAAACATGTATTCGATGAAATCACTTTTCAAAATATTGATATTTTTTTTTAAAACGTTTACAATAGTGCCAACTTTAACAAAAGCGAAAACAACTCTAGCATTTCTATTTGCTGCGGTTCATAAACTCTGCCATCTACTTAACGGTTTTTTTATTAACAATATCAATAATACGATAAGAGAAAATTTTCGTACGCATTTTTAATTATTAATTGATTTCTAATTAATGTGTTCATTAGTAAAAAAGTCAACGATCCGTGAAATATCGTTTTTTTTCTCTTTTTTTTATTAATGACAAACGTTTTTTCTTTATTTAAATTTCTTTTTCAACCGACTTCTTTTGTAAAGATGTTTTCAAATGATTAGATTGATACTTCGCGACTCCATAATAATTAATTCTAATTATTTAAATTTATCATTATTATTATTATTTAATTTTGTCTAAATTTTAAAACCACGACGACAACATGAAAGAATCAAAGAATCAAAAAACAAAAAGGAGAGAAAAATAATAATTTTTTTATTTGAAATCGTAATCATTTTTTTTACAATTCGATCGCAATTTAAAATTTACAATCATTTTTTTTTTTTTTTTTTTAATTCGACGCAGGTGAGTTTTTTTTTTTATATCGGAAACAAAACAAAAAAAAAATTTTTTTTTTATTGCCATCGACGACGAGTTTACAAATTAATATCTCGAATCGTAAAACGTGTCACGATAAACAAAATTTATCCGTATTAATGACGTGTAAGAAGGAAAAAAAACAAAAAAAAAAATTTAATCTTTTTTATCGACATTATTACGACAAATCATTGACGCAAATAAAAAAAAAAAATTTCTTTCTCTCTCTCTCTCTCCCTCTTTCTCTGTCTTTTTCTACTTTTTAAGCCCCCAATAGTTTTTTGACCGTGTAACCGGGTATCGAATAAAAAAATAAAAAAAGTATCAAAGCCAAAGCCAATATTATTAAAAATTTAAGTATCATCCATTTGTAATTGTGCCATAAAACGTAACGCATCGATTTTAACGGATTTATAAACCAAACAAACGACGAATCCGGCCGACTGTAAAATAATAATAATAATAATAACAATTATATTTGTATGGAGTTGTAATAATAATAATAATGATTCGACTCACTTTGGTTTTTCCAAAGGATCCGGTTCGTTTCTACCACATCCCGCCGGTATTTTTTCAGCTTCTTCTTTCGTCAACAAATGAATCTCTGCTTCCACTTTACCCTGGAAAAAAAAACGTGTCAATAGCATTTCAATAAAACGCGTAATGGCATTAACGATTTTTAACCGGAAATCTAACTAACGGTGAGTTCCATTTCTTCGTTTTCTTTTTTTATGTAAAACGGCCACCATCCTTTCAACCTTTTTTGTTTGAATATGTTTATCATCGATACGGAACCATCAGTTTTCAACATGTTTAAAGTGCAGAGTTTGGAAGACTTGGCTCCGCGAGGAAATCTGTTCAGATCTAACGTTATGGCTCCTGTAAAGGAAAAAAATTTAAAAAAATTCACTCTCGGACCGGAAACGTCGTCGTCGTCGTTGGCGTTTCAATACCGAGAAAATCATCGGCGGAAAAATGATCCGCATCCCAAACTTGCAATTCGAGTCTCGCTGGAATTTTGCATTCTGTTTCGTCCCACGAAAACAAGGATTCTTTTCTCGATATGACGATTTTCTCTTCTGCTACGAGATAATCGAAAGGAAATATAAATCTCCAGTTGAAATTTCCTTCTCCGGTCAACGATCGAAAATGAATATCAGTGTACTGACAGTCTTCTGGTCCCTTCAACCATCTAAACAACCACAAAAAAAATTAGATCAATTTCGAACCCATGATTCCCAATTAATAAAATAATAATAATAATAGTTTTCTTATACCCTTTCACGTAAATATCAGACATTTTTTCTCCGGTGAAAAAAGCATCGTCCTCCAAAACGACGTCTTCCGTATTCCATATGATGACTCTCAATTCGTAAGATTTGGGCTTTCGCGGTGATATATCCACGGGTGGTCCCGGAAGTGGCATGTCCATCGGAAACATGTCGACCCACATTTCTAATTTACCCTGAACAACAACTTTAAATGATCTTCGAAAAAGAAAAGGAAAGAAAAAAAAAGCAATTTTTCTCCCTCCCCTCCTTTCCCTTCAAAATCATGTACCTGTTCGATGCTAGGCCTATCCGGATTATAAAGCGGTCTCGTTTCTATGTGTTCCGGTACCAACTGACAACCTATCCTTGGTATTTCCTGCCATTTTTGTAAAATGGAAAGAGCCACTTGTTCTTCGATCCCTGTTAAAATTTTTAAAGGATAAAAATATGTTTTCCTTTCCCGGACTGGGGGGGAGGGGAGGGATGAATAATTATTATCGTACCTTTAGAAAAATCGCACTGATCAATTTCTTCTTGTTTAATGACGAAATTATGTTTTCCGACGGTGACTTTTCCCCTGTTATAAACCGGTGGATCTATTTTTCCCTCCTTGCACAATTTAGATAATATTTGACTTGGTTTCATTGGATCCCTCCATTGATTGTAACCGTACCTGTAAAATCGTGTCACGGGAAAGTAAAATCATTAGCACGGGGGGAAGGAAAAAAGAGAGGGGGAGGGGGGAAAACCCACTCGTCGTATCTGCTGGCTATTCCGCAGGTGGCTCTTTGCCTGCTGTAAAATCGATTTTCCAAATCGATTTTCGTTTCCCCGATCATTTCGTCCGAACCTACTAAATCCCAATCGAAAACTTGAACCGTTAACAAAGAATCCTGCGGAAAAGTTGCTTCGATTTCAAAACATCTGAAAAATGAATAAATTTTTTTGTTTTTCGGAATCAGGTACCCCTCCTAACTTTTCCAATTTTTTTTTTCCTTACTTTCCAAAAACGGGATTCAATTGTTTCGAAACGTAATTTTCTTTATCGCTTATCCTTTTCGAACCTAGCTGAAGAACTATGTAGGGATCTGCTTTTCCATTAATGTCCATTGGATGAAGATCTTTTGCTTTGACGACGTACACCCTCACCAAAACGTGAATCGGATCGCTCGAGGGTAAACCTGGAAAGTTTATAAATCACATTTTTTTTTCTTTTTCACAATGTCGAAAAAAAAACGTCGGGTTTCAACCGACCCTGAAAAAATCCATGTTGAGGATCGAATCCCATAATCGTGTGATCGATGACATCTTTCGGCAAAGGCCATTTGTAAACTTTGATGGCACCTTTGAACGTACCAACAATCCGACTGTCATCTTCCACGTCGTCACCCGTTTTTTTTCCACGATACAAATAAAAACTGAGGAGCCATTCTTTGAATGAATTGTATTCCGGTTGATTTTCGAGTTCGTTTTGATAAATCTACCGGAAGCAAAAAAAAAATTATTTTTTTTTCGAAAACAAATTCCCCCTCCCAACCGGAAACAAACCTTTAGCAAAGCCGTTTTGGATTCTACTTTTTTCCTGTCGGTTTTCGGACTTAATTTCGATACAAATTTTGACGTTGATCCTTTCGTTTTGCTTTTTTGACTTTTCTGATCCGACGTCGCGGAAAATGGATCTTGTACGTCTGACGAATCGGACGTCATTTGAATTTCGATTTGTTGATTTTGAGCTATTATGGTTTCCCTTTTAGCTGTTTTACTTTCCTTAAAATCCAACCCCAACCCCCCAGAAAAAAAAGGGAAAAAAAATTTTTTTTTCATATAATTTCAAGACAAAATATAAAAATCAAAATTAATTTTTTTTTTTTTTTTTACTTCTATGGTTGCTTCGACGGAAGCAAAATATTTTGTCCACCAATCTTTACTTCCTTCATCATCTTCTAATTCCCTCGTCGTATTTTTACGTCTTCTTTTATTGATTTCCGCTTTTATTTGTTTTTTATGTGGTATAACAGCGGCGGTACCCTAGCGTTTAAAAAAACCTAACATTAAATTTTTTTTATCTTTAAAAGGGATAAAAAAAAAAAAAAAAAAAACTTAAAAAAAATTTATTTTGAGTTTTTTTCATCGCCCCCCCTCCCTCCCCCATTTTTTCCCATTATCAGCAAATAAAATATAATGTTTTTTTTTTTTTTTCGACTCACATAACTTAATGATAAAGTTGTTTCTTTCGGTATGAGAGGAGAATTTTCCTTAAAGTTTTTATCATAACATGAAACGTCCTCACCCGAAGAGTTCATCTGAGCGGCGTGACAACCTTTGAAAAAAAATAGAAAAAAATTTCAAATTGAAATTTCTTCTGCTTAGTGCGTCCAAGGATGAAAAATCAACCGATGCGTACTCGGACTTTGTTGGAGGGGTTTCAATTGGTGTTTGTTGATTTCATTTTCTTTTTTGATTGTCGGAATGAACATGTATTTGTGTATGGAATTGATCGTGTGCGTACCGACCAACGTGTAACGACCGAAACTCCTACAATCCACGGCTCTTATCGTCAACGGAGGCCTGTACAATTCTTGTTCCGGTAATTCCAAATCAATGAATTTAACCGGATTACCGAAATTTGGATTTTTTTTCGCGTTCTGTATGACCGAAGAATTGATTATGTGACCCGCGCATTCTACGTCGACCCGAGGTTTATCAACGGTCAAAAGGTGAATTCTTTTTAAATCCCGGAGACCCCAAAACAAAACTTCGATTCTAAAAAAAATTACAATTTTATTTAGTTTTATTAAACAAACAGTCGGAAAAATTATTATTTTTTTAACTTGCCTGTACTTAGCCAGAGTCGGTCGTATGCCTCTAGGTACGGGTAACAGGGGACCTGTGTCTATGTCGATTGCAGTACTATTTTCTATTATAGTTTCTTTTGGTAAAGGCAATTGTGGCAATTCATTAGAATGTTTTGTATATTCTAACAATTCGAAACAAGCTAAAAGCTCTCCCGCGTGATCAGGTCCCCTGAGTATTTCGTGCCATTCCAAAGGGGGAGGAAATTTCGGACCTTCGTAGGGATCTTCCAAAAGTTTTACGTAAGGTTTTGCCAATGCTCGACCTATGAATTCCGATTTTCCCACTCGATCTTGATCGAATATTTCAACGATTATCGTCGGCGGATCTTTTTTTATGTCTTCTTTGATTCCCCACAATAGGATTTCGTCGAAAACCAAAAGTTCGTCCCAAGTTGGACTCAACGTTTCGTCGAGTACTTGAGTCGTTTTACAATATTCTCCGAGAATGACTCTCGCAAATGGATCCGATAAACCGGAAGCATCGGATCCGATGAGTGATCTCGCTTGGTACATGTGCGCTCTCAGTTGAAACGAATGCATGGACCTGTAATGGAGGACCCTGGGTGGTGGAGCGCGTAATTTTTCAACGTTTTTAATTTCGTTTGATATTTCGTAGCCTTTCGGTATTCCCTCGATGTAATTTTTTTTATGCTTCAACAATCCGAGCCACATGTAAATTTGAAGATTGACTTGAATCGTCCATCCGCTCGGTCCGACGCTTTTTTTCCCCGGTAATTTTAAAAATAAACTTTGAACTTTACCACATTCTCTACCGCATTCCTCATTGACGACCGAATATATGATATCTCTCGCGGGAATTCTATAATAAGCGAGTCGTTTATTTCCGCTTAAAGCCCAAATAAATACATCCGGTAAAGATTGTTGGGGATCCTCTTCTAAAAATTTCAATTTTTGTAAATAAGTTCCCGCAGTTTTGTACCTTTCTTTAAACGAACTCTTCGTGACGAGAGCTTTTAAATTTCTAGAACTCGTTGCCAATTTTTCTATTTCTCTCTGACACAATTTCATTCTTTCCTTGTCCAATTTAGTTTTTCCCGTTCCCGGACACGACGAAGTTCCCTTCGTTAAATTAACGTAACGACTGCAAGCCATTGATAAATTTTCCAAAACGGTTTTGAGCTTTTTTTCAGCGTTCGAATTTTCTGATTCCATCAACATATGAGTTTCCGTCAATCCTTCTTCTAACGCATCGGCTATTTTAGAAATCATGTTCGAATTGTACATTCGTTTCCGGAAATCGGGCCAAACGGATATCGTGTGCATGCAAGGTTTGTTATCCCAATACGGTAGAAAATAATAAATTTTATCGTGAGTCATGGGTTTTGCTGACGTCGTCGTACTTTGACACGTTGTCAAATCCGTTCTCACGCATTCTAACGCATCTTCCGCATCCGAATCGTCCAACACCTGACACGGTATGTTGTGACCGTCTATGGAATTTCCAGAATTACCGATGCTCAATTCGAAATATATGTGTTTTTCTCCAATTTTTTTATCTATCATCGTAGCGCTCAATATTGTCGAAAATAGGAAAAATTCTTCATTTTTTCCATAAGAAGTCTTTGATAAGTGAACAAACAAAGGGAAAATAATTTTCCCGTTATCAATCGCTCGCCATAAAAAAAAAAAAAAATTTTAAACTACGATTACCTCTTGAATTGGAAAAATTGGTTCGACTTCGACATCGTTCGTCACCAAATCAACATTATTCGTGATTTCCGTTCGGACCGACATGAGAATTCGAGCTCTGTACGATATTCCTTCTCCTAAACCCGAATTCAAATTCGAATGTTCGTTTATGAGACTGTAATCTCTCGTCGAACCGTACAAATGAATGAATGTCGGACCGAATGTCGGTAGGAAACCTTAACGTGATAAAAATTTAAATATGCATTTTGTACGGTGATAACAAATTCATCCGACCAAACATACCTTGAATATCTTACCCTTCTCTCCGTCGTTTGATATCGTTTTGAGATCAATAAAATGCGTGCCTATTATTGTGTTGTTTACGGGATCGTTATCCCGCAATTGAATTTTTATACGTTGACATAAGGGTGGAAACATTTCGTTAAAAACTATTTGTTCGTTCCATACTGGAGAATAACTGTGTTTTTTAACGCTCGTCTTACCCTGGAACGTAAAACGTCAAAAACGACGGAAAAAAAAAAAAAGGGAAAAAGTACGCAAATTAATGATTAGCGAGGAACGAATGAGGATTTAACATTATAAAACGAGGATAATTACAATTAGTGGAATTGTTTTTTTTTTTTAAATCTTTCTCTTATTTTGCTCTGGATTTTATTTTCCAGAATCGTTTTTAGGGAAAAAAAAAAAATGGGGAAAAAATAATCCGGCGTTTTTCCGCGTATTACCGTTAATCCAGCAAAAGAAATTTGAACGTATGGATCCACTAAATCTCTAACTTCTCCCGTGAATGCCTTTTTCACGTTGGCAACAATTGATGAATTCATTTTGGGCAAACCATCAGCTCTGTATATTTTAAATATAAATTTAGCTCTTTGTCTTTCCACTGGAATTCCAGCCGGCACTAACAAATTTCTTTAAAAAAAAAAAAATTAAAAGGAGATTTATTACTACCGGAATGGTAGTAAAAGTTTAAGGATTAAAATTTGCAACGGAGGTTTTTTTTCTTTTCTTTTTCCCAAACGTTTCCGGCAACGTTGTATTATATCCCTTTAAATAAACCTTCTTACATTTTTTTTTTAAGGGATTAAAGAATTAAATGAAAAAAAAATTTAAAAAAAATATTTAAACGTACGCTTCTATATCGTCTTCATCTTTTTCGCTTTTGGGTGGTATTTTAACAGAATCACCTTTTCCCATTACGCTCATATCGCATTTTAGATAACCTTTGGGTCCGGCTATCATATCGTCGGGATCCGTCAAAAGTGCCCATTTGTGATAAAACTGATGATCTAAAAATTGAGTATTATTATTATTATTAATTACTATGCGAATCGATATTTTAAAAAAATGGCCATTAATTTTTTTTTTTTTTAAATTAGTTTCGAAACGAAAACGGGGGGAGAAAAAAAAAAAGAAAAGAAAATTTATTTCCTTCGGTCGAGTTTTTCAGGTATCGTGCACCAGACAAAAAAAAAAAAGATTGAAAAATTAAATGACGATACTTAAATAAAAATAAAATAATAAAAAAAAAAACCGAAACCTTTGTGGAAAATCGTTTACAACCTTTTCGTGTTCATTAAACAGTTTTTAAAAATAAATTTCTCTTTTTTTTTTCCTTTTTTTTCATTCCTTTTTCTCGTCTTTTATTGCCACAATTAATTTTTTTTTTACAATGGATTTACAACTTGCTACGAATGTTTTACGACGTGGAAACAAAAAAGAATATTATTATCATCATTATTATTATTATTATTACTATTACAAAACGCGTTTTTTTTTTTTTTGCGTACATGTGAAACAAGAAACATTCAAGAATAAAAAAAAATCAAATCACAATAATAATAAAAATAGTAAAAGAGGGGGAACAAAAAAAACCGCCATTTCCGCCTGCTTTGTGATTTAAAAGGATAATAATAATAGTAATAATAATAATAAAAATAAAATTTTTTCTTTTTATTTTCACTCTCAAACTTACACCCCCCAAAAAATTAATCGTTAAATTTTTTTAAGCAATTCATTCAAAATAAAATTTTTACTACTACACACCATAAACTTTATAAAAAAAAAAAGAGAGAGAGAAAGAGAATGAGTGAGGGAGGAGGTAAAAATTTTGTTAAAAATTTCCTTTCGTAATTTTATTTGCTTTCTTTTAAAAATTAAATCGAGCAACAAAAAAAAAATTGCTTATATTTCACAAATATTAAATTGTACGCGAATCGATAAATGTTATAACTTACTACCACCATCATCATCATCATCATTATTATTATTATTTTTTTATAGGAAACATGAAACAAGTTTTTAACTGAATCAACAAGAAAGAAATGAAAAAAAAAAAAAAATTTCAAACTTCAGGTACTTAACGAACGCATTGTGATAAAAAAAAAAAGAAAAAAACTTTTTTTATTATTCTTCCATTTTCTTTTATATTTCCATCATTCCCCTCCCCGCTCCCCGCCCCCTATTGCCACTGTCATCGCCCTGCCCCCCGTCGATTTCCCTCACTTCGATTCTATTATTCTTCGTCTGGAATTTGCGAAAAACAAATACTCAATTTTTTTTTTCTTTTTTTCTTTTTTTTTTAATGTAAGAAAATTTAATAAAAAGTTTTGATATTTATAAAAAAGAAAGACAGATGGCGCTTTTCTTTTATTATTATTATTATTATTAGAGAAAAGTTAGAAACCCCCACGAGGATCATCGAGTTTTGGATTTTTTTTTTGAACCTTTAAAATTTTTGAAAAAAAAAAAAAAAAAAAAAAAAAATCGATTCGAGGTAAAAGCAAGTTGAAAAAAAAAAAAAGCAGAGGAAGACAAATAATTTAAAGATGGCGGCCGTCAAACCGTCAATAAAAACAAAAACTTTTAAAAAAAAAGAAAAGAAAAACGAGAGGAAAGGGGGGGGGGAATTTTTTTATTTTCCTCATTACCTGGCTGTGCCCAAACCGTCGCAACGTCCAACTTAAAACTTCCCAAAAGTCTGTTGGGCCTTAGCAAACTTCGAGCTTGAAGAACCTAAACCGTGGAATTTATTTGGAATCAAAAAAAAAAAAAAAAAAATGGCAGCGTGCAATCAAAGAACAAAAAGAAAAAAAAATATTATTAAAATTTAAAACGGCAGGAAACAAACAAATTTCACAAAATTAACTTTTAATTATTATTATTATTATTTAATTTTAATTTCCTTTTCCGGTTGTCAATCAAAATACGATTCGTTTCATAGGTGAAGCCTTATTTAAAATCAAAATTAAGAAATCATTCATTAATCACAGTCAATGATTCTTTTCTGTCGGAACATTATTCAGATGATGAAGAAGGGAGAGGGAAAGGGGGGCAAAGAAAAAAAATCGGAAAACCTTCTTTGAAACTTTTGCTATAAATAACCGCTTTCAATTTCACGGGGGAAAAAAAAGAAAAATAAAAAATCACACTCACCGACAGCGTTATGATTTTATCAAACAACATGACGGGCGGCATACGAAAATCAAAGACAAAATACTGGAAAAAAAGAAAAAACGATTATTTTATCATTCCAGGACTGGAACCAGGATTTTTAAAAGGTCGTGGATTATTTTTCCAAATCTCACCTCGTTATAATACGGACAGTTCGTGCTTTCTTTAACGCTCGTGTATTTTTTTTGATCTCCGACTTGTACGCAAACAACGGGATCCATATTTAATCCGGCAAGTTGTCGGGCTTCTATGATTGTCACGCAAATTTGAAAATCTTGAGATTTCAATATGGCGTTTGCAACGGATGCGAGAGTCGGTTTCACTCTGTTTGAAAATTTAAAAAAAACGATTTAAAGATTAAAAAACAATTTAATTTTTTTTCTCTTTCTCTTCCTTCCCCTTCCCTTTCTCGTTCCCCTTACCCCGTCCTCCCATTTCTTTTTTAATTTATGCTTTTTTACTTTTTTATTCCAGAGTAATGATTTTTCCTCTTTGGAAATTTCCACAAAATGAGATATAAACCTTCCTCCCACGGACCGTGAAAAAAAAAAGAAAAACGTGACCTTTTTTTTCTCCGTAGGGTTAATTAAAAATAATTTACACAAATATACTCGGAAAATATTCAAACGGGGAAAAAAAATTAAATTATAAACGATACGACGACGTCAAATATTTAATCAACGATTGGAAAATTACATTATTCGACTGGATAAAAAAAGAAAATTTTTTTCTTCCTTCTTCCTTCTTCTTCTTCCCGTTTCCCTTTTTTCTCGTAATGTCTTCCTTCCCTTTCCCTCCGTCCACTTTCACAAAGCTTCTTTAAAATCCTTTTTTACTTATTTTCCCATAAAAATAAAAAACAATGAGATTCACTCACTCACTTTTTGGGTTTTTCCACACGTTCCAAAACTTCTTTTTCGTTCCCACCGACGGATTCTAAACTCGTGACACTTCCGGCAAGGGACTCAGGTACCGAATCGCTACCCGAACTCAACGGCACGAATTGTTTCCTATCCGATCCCCATTCTTTCAATAATTTTTGCTCGTCGTCTTTGTGAGATTCTCTCGTTGTGTTGTACCTGGAAAATCTTATCAAGTTTCTCACGCTTCTGAATGCTGTCGTCGCTCTCGCTCTGGGAATTTCACAAAAAAATAAATAAAACCGTCATCATTTTATTAATTATTATTATTATTATTATAACAAAAAAAAAAACTTTTCAGCTCACCTTTTCTTATCGTATCCCGGAGATTTTTCCAATCCTTCGCTTGGATTTTGATTGTCCGTATTTAAATTTGTTTTGTCTTTCGATTGATATTTTTTCACGGATTCTTTTCTTTGCAACGTCATGCTTTTCTCCAAATTTGCTATGTTTTGTTCAATGTCTATTAGTTTTTGTTGATCGTCATCTAATGATTCTAAACACTCCGTATCGCTCCACGACGGTGATTTATTCGGCATAACATATTCCACGTGGAATTCTACGTTAATCTAAACGGTGGGGAAAACATAAAACAATAAAAAAAAAAAAAATCGACTGCAAATGGAAAATTTCATACGAAATTCACGTAGGAATTATTAACGAACAAATTTAAAAAAAATAAAAAATTCATTTTACCGCAAAACATTATTTTTAAACACAAAAAAAAATCGCTTTCTCTCTCTTTTTCTTTCTCTATCTCTTTCTTTTTCGAATCAAAAATTTAAAAAAAAATGAAAAGCAGTCATGACAAAAAAAACTCGACGTTTAAAATCTTTTTTTTTTTTTTTAAATTTTATTTACCGGAAAACCGTGCAAAACAAACAAACAAAAAAAAAACAAGTTCGAATGATGATGATGATGATATCTACAGGTAAACAAAAATAAATAAAAAAATTTTATTTTTTTCTTTGTTTAATTTCATCATTTTTGGTTCAGATGAACAATATCACTTGGAAAACCAAAAAAAAATGTCTGGAAGCAAATTAAAAAAAAAAAACATTTACAAAGTAAGAAAAAATCATTTTAAAAAAAAACAGATTCTCTCCCTTTACTCAGAAAGGGTAGAAAATAAATGAAAGTCTGTTGAAAGGGGGGAAGGGAGGGGAGGGGAGAAAGGAATAAAAACCGAAAACATGTGTCTGTCAAATCAACAATTAAATCAATTTATTATTCTCCGCGAAAAGTTTTCTAACAAAAAGTTTTCGTCATCACTTCTCATACATATTTTATACATTTTAACATAAATTTCCCATTGAAATCCTTTAACCCAAATAATAATAATAATAATAAAGAAAAGTTTCTGGAGATTTCAGTTGAAAAGTGAGAGAGAGAGAGAGAAAGAAAACAGCCGGAAAATAAAAATAAAATAAAGTGTGGGAGAAGGAAATACGTGAATTCGCATTTTGCCGGAAGGAGTAAAAAAAACTAAAAAGTCAATTTAAAATTACGAAAGGTAAAAAGAGAAAGAAGGAGAGAGAAGGAAAGAGAGAGAGAAAAAAATGAGAAAGTTGAAAGGCTGTTAAAAAAAAAAAAAAAAAAAAAAAAAACGAAACAATGCTTCTTCTTTTTCTTCTTCTTCTCGTTCGACGACGACAAATTTTTTTCTTTCTTTCTTGCCTTTTTTTTTTAATGACAACCGAACAAACGATCGATCAAACAAACAACAAACAGGAAACACAAACGACAAACGTATTCAAAAATTCGTAATTTATTAAAAAAAAAAAAAAGAAAAACTTACGGGAATAGGTTTATTACTGAGATCGGTGAGTGTGTCCCGAATCGTAAAACTTCCATTTTCAATCAATGATTGTAGTACAAGACAATAAAATCCGATTATTTTCTTGTTAAAATATTTATTGTGTACGTAAAGTTGTATTTGTAACGTTTCATCGTTTTCTATTTGACGACCGACGGGCCATTCGAAAACCTGTTAAAACAAAACAAACAAATAATAATAATAATAATAATAATAATAATAACAGATTCTTATGTTATGATGCTAAAAATTCTCTCTCTCACTCTCTCCCTTAATAATTACTTATCAAAATTTTCACTCTCTCTCTCTCTCTCTCTCTCTCTCTCTCTCTCTCTTTTTGATTAAATTTTGAATTTTTCATTATGCAAATATAACTCAATGTTTTGATTATACATGTGTGAAAATGCGTTACCGTGTGTTATATTGCGGGGAGAAGAAAGGGAGAGGGAATGAGGGAGGAGGAAGAGGAGGAGGAGGGGAAAAACAGGAGAAAAATTAACGAACCTTAAATTTTAATTTTAAAACAGTCGAATCGTTTTTTTTTTCTCGAAAATGTCATTTTCGATTTTTTTTAAAAAAAATTTTTTTCGTCTTACATCTTTTATCATTTTTATTATTATTATTTTTATTATTATTATTTTTATTATTATTACTATCATAAATTTTATTTCAAACCATAAATCAATTATTTATTAT